GTTGGTAAATAGAAAGGCCAGACAAAGCCTGAGAGTCAGACTAAGGTTTTTTCTGGCCTCAGATTATGTCCTTCAAAGGCAATGCGAAATCAGGAGGCACCTGCCTTCTCACAAACACCAGCAAAATAATAGAAATATGCTATCATTCATTACCCATTTATATTTTGTTTAACATTGTTATTTGGGATCTTTAAAATATATTTCATGTGTGTTCTAAATTTTACTTTTTTTATGTATATGAATGTTTTGCCTGCATGTATGTAAGTGCACCATGTGTGTGCAATACTCATGGAGGCTAGAAAAGTGTGTCAGATCCCCTGGAACTGGAGTTAAGGACAGTTGTTAGCAGCCATGGGGGTTCTGGGAACTGAACCCACAGCCTCTGCAAGAGCAGCCAGTGCTCTTAACTACTGAGCCATCTCTCCAGTCCCATTCATGTGTATTTTTATGGTTGTCTCATATATATATATATCCGTGTGAGTATATGCTCTGTGTGTGTGTGTATGTGTGTGTGTGTGTGTGTGTGTGTGTGTGTGTGTGTGTGTACCTACAGATGCCAGACAGACAAGGGCATTGAATGCCCTAGAGCTAGAGTTACAGGTGGTTATGAACCTCCCAATGGGGGTGCTGGGAATCCAATATCAGTCCTCTGGAAGAGCAGTAAGTGCTCTGAACTTCTGAGCCATCTCTCCGGCCCTTGCTCTAGATGTTAAGTCCCACTAAGAACATGACTTCAGGCAGATGTGGTGGCTGGCTCACATTTGTAACCCCTGCACTGCGAGTCTGAGGCAAGAGAACTGCCACAAGTTTGAGGCCAGCCTGGATTTCCTAGTGAGTTCTGGGGTTACAAAATGAAAACTCTTGTCTGAAAAAAAAAACAAACAAAAACCCCACAACAAACACCACCAACAAAAACCAAAAACAAGGAGGCTGGAGAGATGGCTCAGAGGTTAAGAGCACTGAATGCTCTTGCAGAGGACCCGGATTACATTCCCAGCACCCACATAGCGGCTATGAACCATCCTTAACTCCAGTTCCAGGGGAATCCGACGCCCTCTTCTGACCTCCGTGGCATTGCACAACACAGGTGCACTCACATATATGCGGGCAATACACTTCATACACATAAAATAAAAATAATAAATAAAATAAAAAGAATTAAAAAATTAAAAAACAAAACAAAACACACACACACAAACTAATAAAAAGCAAATAAGAAAGAACTGAACATAATGGCAAAACCTGCTATTTATCAGTGCCCCATTGGATGCTGGGAGCACTGCTAATTTACTAAAAATGGAAAGAGGAACTTCTCTTTGGACTGTGGTGGGGAGGTGAAGGGACAAAGGAGGGGAAATTTCTTTGCTAACTGCTCAGCAGAGCTATGCATTTACAAAAATGCTATTAAAAATAATTATATATCACATATATGACTATGAAGCCAAAATATTTAAACAATCAAAAAGTGAGAGTGTTGTGTGAAGTATGTCCTTACGTGATTGGTCATGTGTATAAAATGGGCACTTTCTCAAAATTCAAGCCACTACATATTTGATGATCTCCTAGAAATTGTAGAATATTTTTTTTTAACCAGTGCTTATCAAGTAGATGAGTATGGGGATACACACCTGCAATTCCAGCACTTGGGAGATTAAAGTTGCAGTATCATGACTTGGAAGCTGGCCTTAGTTATGTAGCAAGTTGCAGGACTGCTGGACTCTTAGACTTCTAGCAAGATGTTGTTTCAAAAAACTAAAGGGAGGGAGGGAGGGAGGGAAGGAAGGAAGGAAGGAAGGAAGGAAGGAAGGAAGGAAGAAGGGAAGAAAGGAAGAAGGGAAGAAAGGAAGGAAAAAATCACTAAGATTGCAGGGTCATTAGTGATGAAATAAACAGATAAACAGTGGCTCTGTGTGTGTGTGTGTGTGTGTGTGTGTGTGTAGCTATCAATTCCAAGAAAAGAGCCTCTTTTCCTTCCTTTAGAAGCAACCCAGATCTCTAAAGACTGCATTTTTTTCCTTGAGTTCAACCATACTGCTTTTCTTTAAGGCTGCCATATTTTCATTTTCCCTAATTCAAGGCTGTATATGGAACTGTATCTTGCATAAGGGTAAACGGCGCCATCTAGAGTCTAATAGCACACATAGAGAAGCTGTTAAAATCACTTGTGCTTCAGAAATTGATGCCAGACTGTATGTATTCAGCAGCAATCTATGTCTCCTAGCTCCCTCCTTCAAGGACCGACCCTACAGCTGAGGAAAGAAATCACACTTCCTGTAATCTTAGCCCCTGAGAGGCAGGAGGATCAGGAGTTAAAGGTCAATTTTTCAACATAATGAGTTCAGGGACAGCCTGGGTCACATGAGGCTCTGTCTCAAAAAGAAAAAAAGAAAAAGAAGAAGAAAAAGTAAGGAGAAAGAGAAAAGAAAGAAAAAGAAGAAAAAAACCCACACTTCTACCAGAAAGCTGGGAAATGAAATGTCAGTAGAAGCTTTGATTTTTTTCTCTTCCCATAATGTAAATATATATTTACATATGTATTTACATGCATACTTGTTAACAGTAGATAACACCAAATATCCTTAATAAAGCCTACACATAAAGAAGTGTATGTATTACACCTATCCTCCAAGCCTCCCTCATAATACCACTTTCCAGAAATAACCACTGCTAACACTTGATAAATATCCTTCAATATTTTTCATTTTTCATATGTATGAATGTTTATTAAAACTTTTTCTATATATATATATATATATATATATATTTGAGTTAGGGTCTCCCTGTAGCCCTGCTGGCCTGGAACTCACAATGTAAACCAGGCTGGCCTGGAACTAGAGATTCGCATGACTCTGCCTCCCAGGTGCTGGGATTAAAGGCATGTGCCACCACTCCCGGCCAACAGGTATATTTATTAAAGAAATGGGCTCAAACATACTCGCTATTTATAAGCCAAATTTTATAAAACTTTATAACATAGATAGCATGGGCCACTTCCTTAGTAGAATATATATATATATATATGGTATAGTTATATATTCCTTAATATATGTGGGCAACTATTATGAAAAAAACCTGTGTGTGTGTGTGTTTCTTTTCTTTTTTTAAAGACAGGATCCACCTGTAGCCCTAGATGGCCTGGAACTTGCTATGTAGACCAGGCTGGACTCAATCTCACAGAGATCCACATGCCTTTGCCTCCCAAGTTCTGGAATTATGGGCGTAAGACATGCACCACGCCTGACTAATAGTTTGTTGAATGGATAAAGCAATTCTTTTTAAAAAATATTTATTATTTTTAGTGTATGAGTGTATTGCTTGCATGTAGGTGGGTTGTGAGATGCCCACAGTGGCCAGAAGAGGGCGTCAGATCCCCGGAACTGGAGCAGCCACTCCAATCATTCCAAGGTAATCATGGAGCAGGATAGCTTGAGGAATCATGGGACATCACAGAAAAACTGGTGGATTATTTTTGCCCCACAGAAGCTGATAGAGAATGTAGTTGCTGAATACAAGCCTCCTGAGATGGTTGTTAGCTGCCATGTAGGTGCTGGGAATCGAACTCCGGTCTCTGCAAGAGTAGCCAATGCTCTTAACTGCTAAGCCATCTCTCTAGCCCTGGATAATGCAATTCTTTCAACCAACCTATTACTTGTAGTGACTTAGATGTTTCCAGCTTTTTACTACTCTGGACAACAACAGATGATGTAATCACAGTAATCAAGACCTCAGGATTCCTCAGACTCACTGATTTCTCTGGACAGGTGCGTAGAATTCAAAAGAGTTGTGATAGTTATGATTTATTATAGAGAAATGACAGATTAAAATCAGGAGAGGAAAGGGCATATGGGCGGAGTTCATAAGTCAGGTATACACTTTCTGATATCCCTTCCCAGAAGACTCATAAAAGGATGTGCTTAATTCTTTCAATGATGTATGACAACATATACAAAGTATTTCCAAAAAAGGAAGTCCCCCCCAAACCTTTGTATATAGGATTTTGGGGGGTGCTAGTTAGATGGCCTGATATCACTTGCATAACTGCCTTTAACTGCTCCATCTCTAGTTGCCTTCTATCCCTACAGGGTGCTCACATTGAACAGTGATATTCCTAATCAGAAACATTTGCTGTTTCTTTCATCTGGCTTGGATGGGGTCTGCCATGAGTCACTAAGAACACTCTTCAAGAGGAATGAAGTTATATCTGAGAAAGAGAACAGCAGGCTCTGGCATCTAGGAACTGGCTTGGTAGTAGGGACTAGGATTTCTCTGACTTTGCTATCAGTGCTCAGACACTCACAGCTAGATGGTTTTGTTCTCTTTTGAACACAAGCACTTTCGCAGAATACCAGCATCAGACAAGGTGACTGTGAGACCATGATGGAGAAGTCAGAAAGAAGACGACTCTGTAATCATGGCTAGCCATACTTCAAAATACTAAGCATACTCCCTGGCTAAAATGATTATTTTAAAAAATGTGGTTTGAAAAACTTATATAAGGGGCTGGTGTTCCAGATGGGCTGGAGGAGCAGATGGTTCAGCACTTAAGAACACTTGGCTGCTGTTCCAGAGGACCTAAGTTTGGTTCTCGACACACAAGTTAGCAGATCACCTGTAACTCCAAGTGAAGGAAGGCTTTTTCTCATGTCCCCCTCTATTTCCTAACTCGCCATTCTGCCTCATTAACACTAAAATCCTGAGAAACTTTATATTTGGGGAAATTTATTTTTTAATGCTTACGTCTTTTGAAATAATTTTTTAATTGAACTTTTGCAATTTCATGGAACTTTATCTTTTACCTTGAACGCTGAAGGGTTTGGTGAAAAGATGGATGGAAAGGTCGCTCTGATTAGGGTTTAGTGCACACCTTCGGCAAGCCTAGCATCACCTACCGCAGAAGCCGTCCTGCCCTCTGTCCACATGGTCCTCCCACGGGGCAGCTGAGCCGCTTAAGGTAGCGCGGCCCTAGGAGAAGGTCGCTCTAGCACACCGCTACTCGGTGGTAGGAGCAGCGGTGGCCTGGCCTGGGCGCCGCCATGTTGGAAGCTCAGGGCTCGAGCCATGGAGGCGAGGTTCGGAAGTCGAGCGCCAGCCCGGCCAGCTCCGCTCGGCACATGCTGGAAGTGCGGCCCGGGCTGTTCCTGGGTGGAGCAGCGGCCGTGGCGGAGCCAAACCACCTGAGGAAGGCGGGTATCACCGCTGTGCTGACTGTTGACTCGGAACCCGGTTTCCAGGCGCGGGCTGGGTTCGAGGGTCTCCGGAGCCTCTTTGTGCCGGCGCAGGACAAACCCGAGACCGACTTGCTCAGCCACCTGGACCACTGCGTGGCCTTCATCGGCCAGGCGCGCGCCGAGGGCCGTGCAGTGTTGGTGCACTGGTGAGTGGCCAGGTGCGGGGGCAGCGCCCGCATCCCGTCCCCCCTTTGCTGCGGTGCTCCGGAGAGGACGAGCGGGCGGTCTAACCTCAGAACTTGTTCCTTTTCCTCCTTTGAGGTTTGCGTCTCCAAAGAAGGTGGTCTGTTGGCGGTCTCCTGATTTGTGTTTTGATTGGTTCATTCTGCAACAAACATGTCGATTTTTTTTAAAGGTAGTTTTGGAGTTGGGGTTCATCAGGTAAGTGTTAAAACTATGCACCCACGCCAGCTTTGTAAGACGGACACCTACCTCGATGCTTGTGACACAGACCACATATGTTGGAGCAAAAAGATGTGATACTTTTCCTCCTCATCTTAAGGGTCACTGTGATACTCCTGTGATAGGGTGGTTAACAAGCTAAAAGCATGAGACTTTTAAATCAGTATTATCCCACACGAGAGTTTTAAAAAATGAAAGCTCAAAGAGCCAGGGAAAACTGTACGTTTTTGTACTTGGATTAATTAAAGACAGTCATGTAGACATATGATTGGACAGAAGGGGTATGACCTAATACTGGTCCTTTCTGGAATGCTCTTTGGCTCTGTCAGGCCAGGTAGGTTGGAGAATTTGTCATGCTAGCATGTTAAGCAAACACTATCACTGACATATGACATGTACCCCCTCTTAAGAGAATTTCTTTATGGCCAGTTCTTGCACAGAAAGGTGGAAGAAGGTTAGTTAGAGCTAGATTATTTCCAGCTATTTTTTGTTGTTTTTGTTTGTTTTACCTTTTTTTTTTTTGAGATGGAAGTCTTACTTTGTAGCCCAGGCAGTCCTTGAACTTGGAATCTTCCTGGATCTGGCTCTTGAGTGCTGGGATTATAGGCATGTGCCACTACTCTGGCTTTAATTCTAGTTTTTGTGCCTAACTTTGGAGTATAGGAGTTCAAGGTCTTATTATTTGCCTTGGGGAGATGGGGGAGAAGGGAAAGCAGGACAAAAGATTAAATAGGAGAAAAGATTCACAGGTTTTCAGGGACTTGAATTAAGAGCAAAGGACCTTGGATTTGTTCTATAGCCATTATGAAAGTCTAAAACATTTATGTGCACAGAGGCAGTGTGATTTGCCACCTGTTAGATCACAGACTCTGTCTCTGTTCCACTTTCCTCTCCCAGAAATCAAGTCACAACATCCCCACCCCCTCCCTGCATCTCTCCTGGACAGGCAGTTGATAAAATGTGTTGTGACCTTATAGCTCTTACAAAGGGTTCAGTTCTCCCTCTGAGTTGTACAGACCAAGGGTTATAACTTTGAATTATAACTTTACTTTCATGTAGTACCTTCATATCTTGTGACGCCAGGCCAGGTGAGGCACTTGCCCACCCTGCTGAAAACCTATAAGAATCAGAAACCATGTTTGTCTTCTGAAATTGAAGACCCCCCCCCTCCTCCTCAGAATTCCTGCATACTGGTCATGGTGGCTCTCGCTCTTAATGAAGCTCCTTTTTGGGATTTGTTGCTGGTTTCTCTTCAAGGCCTGATCTGCTGTGTTGGTATCTCTCCTAATGCTCTCTTACTTCAAGGCCAGATAGATCATGGCTGCCTGTGCTCTTGAGGCTCTCTTTCCTAATAAAGCTCACCTGAAGGGTAATTTTGTGTCAGCTCCTTTCTATGAACCTATAGTAAGTTCAACACAACCTAATTCAGAAACTTAAATCCCTTTTCCATAGGGGAAGGGGACTATGGAAAATGTAAACAATTTTTATCAGATTAGTGGCTAATTTTCAGTGGGCTTGGAGTGTATCCAGGGGCCTGGAACAAAAACTTCTGGACCTACAAAACAGATGTGAATCATAAATGAGTGTTCATTTTGTTTCTCTTTGGATTATTGAATTGGAACCAAAATAGAAGACAACCATGTGTGACAGAGTTGACCTGGGTGTGTTGACAGACTTGTCTCTTGATATTTTGGGGTGATAGTTTCTGCATCCCTTCAGTAGTAGAAGGGATTAGCAAAGGTTAAAAATCATTCAGACTGTGGAATAAAACCAGATGATGATGATGAGGATGATGATGATGATGGTGATGGTGATTTTGGCAGTGGTGCTAGGAATTAAACTGAGGGTTTTAAATGTTGTTATTCGAGTGCTCTACTGATGAGCTGTACCCTCAGCCCCAAGAACAGATTTTTTTTTATGTTCTGTTTGGGGTAAGGGAGGGTGGTTGATGTAGAGAGAGTTAGGATATAAAGGATCCCTGGGCCTTGCTCAGGAAATTGATGGGGGATATGTTGAAGGGGAAAAAAAAAAACAAAACTAAAAAGAAAACCTTAATAGGTATTTTGGAATTCCTGAGTAGTCCTGTTTGTTTGAAATATGATAGCGGTAGTTTACATTTGTTGGGCACCTCCTGCGTGCCAGTATTTGTTCTAAATGTTTGCATAAAGAACAGAGGCAGTGATGAAATCTGAAGTATGGTACCAGATGTTGAGGGACTTGGAGTTAGGAACAGAGGGGCTTGCACACATAGTCATTATTCTAACAGTTTAAAAATTAAGATAATTATTTTTGAATAGTTACCATATTCAGAATTCAAAAGGATTAAGGATGCTAGGTGTGGTGGTGCAAGCCTCTTATCTCAGCACCCAGAGGCATAAACAGATGGATCTCTGTGAGACTGAGGCCAGGCTGGTCTACATATGATGTTCCAGGCCAGCTGGGGCTACAGGGAGACCGTTGCAAAAAAAAAAAAAAAAAAAAAAAAAAAAAAAGGAAATAAATACTTTTGTACATTGGCAGTATTTCAGAGGCAGTGAGTTAAGTTGAATAGAAGTATAAATGAACTAGGTGTGGTAATACCTGTAATCACAGTACTCAGGAGACAGGAAGATAGCCATGAGTTTGAGGCCAGCCAAGTCTGCATAGCCAGTCCCTGTGTCAGAAAGCTAAAAAAAAAAAAAGTAGAAAGGAAGTGGACCTAAAGATTCCATTAATAGGGGGTTGGGTTTTGTCTTGGTTTTTAATTGTTGCTATTTGCTATTTTATTTTGAAGGTCTCTTTTTCAGTCATGCAGGAGTCAGTCGAAGTGTTGCTGTAGTGACTGCTTTTTTGATGAAGACAGACCAACTTACCTTTGAAAAAGCCTATGAAAACCTCCAGACTATCAAGCCAGAAGCTAAGTGAGTTCTCTGTTACAGAGTTGACTTTTTTTTGCTCTCCAACAATTCTATTTTTGCCAGGAGATTTTACTGAAAGAAAGTTAAACTTCCTACTTGTTTATCATTACAGGATGAATGAGGGGTTTGAATGGCAACTGAAATTATACCAGGCAATGGGATATGAAGTGGATACTTCTAGTGCAATTTATAAGCAATACCGTTTACAAAAGGTTACTGAGAAGTATCCAGGTAAATGTGTACTGATTGATTGCTAGTTTATATTGGACTCTTTTTAGATCACATTTACTTGGACACTAAATGTATTATTTCACTTTTCCAGCAGTCCTATGAGACAGATATTGTTGCTTTTTTTTTAATTTATTTTTTCCTTATGTGTATGAGTTTTTTTTTTTTTTTAGTTTTTTTTTTTTTTTTCTGTAGCTCCAGCTGGCCTGGACCTCACTATGTAGACTAGGCTGGCCTTGAACACATAGAGAGCATACACCACCACGCCTGGCTGTTTATGAGTGTTTTACCTGCATGCATGTAACTACATTATATCTGTGCACTGCCTGTAGAATCCAAAGATCCCCTCGAACTGGAGCTATTAAAGCCATATGGGTGCTGGGAACTGAACCTTGATTCTTTGTAAGAGCAGCTAGTACTATTAACTGCCCTGGCCCACTGCCTTTTCCTTTTGAAACTTTGGTTTAGCCACTTATTCTTGGTCACATGGTTTAAAAATGGCAGAGCTGCATTTGAAATGACTCAGATTCAGAGCTGAAGGCTTATTTACTATGTTCACTTTTTTTTTTTTTTTTTTTTAGTTTCTGAATTTAGTATAGTAAATGCCTCAGTTTGACATTGGAATTTTATCTGAAAATCTAGAAGGTTGGTAATGACAAGTGGATGCATTTTAATTATATCTCATAGAATTGCAGAATTTACCTCAAGAACTCTTTGCTGTTGACCCAACCACCATTTCACAAGGATTGAAAAATGACATTCTCTATAGATGTAGGAAGTGCAGGTAACGTTTTTATATCCTTTGGAAATTTTTTAACCTACAGCTCTTCATTACTTTTGGAAGAAACATGAAACTCACAAACACTGAGTCATATACAGATCCTTTGGGGATAAAAACAGGAAGGGAAGGCCCTCATTTTCTGCTCAGGTTATCTTTATTTTATTCTCTGATTTATAACCCCAGAGTCAGTTTTGAGGCTGTGCTATAGAAATTTTATTGTCTTAGTAACTGAAAAGCAATGAAGAGTTTTATTATTTAATTAAATATATTTTTTAATATCTTATTTTTATTTTTTTATGTGAATGAGTATATTGTGTGCATGTATGTGAGTGCACCCATGTCATGCAGTAGGTTTCAGATTCCCCTGGAACTGGAGTTAAGGACAGTTCATAGCCGCCATGTAGGTGCTGGGAATTGAACCCGGTTCCTCTGGAAGAGCAGTCAGTGCTCTTAACCGCTGAGCTATCTCTCCAGCCCCTATTTAATTGAATATTAAGTGAGTTTTAACTTCATACTTGCCTTCAGGAGGAGTGTAACTTAGTCACAGTGATCAACATGTGGGACTACTGGAATTTTGAGTTGTACATTCAATGTTGTATTATTTTGGCCTCTAAGAAATATGTTCTCATCTTTTGGAGGTCATTAATGTTTTTGTCTTTGGGGATTTTACAGGCGATCTTTATTTCGCAGTTCTAGTATTTTGGATCATAATGAAGGAAGTGGGCCTATAGCCTTTGCCCACAAGAGAACAGCACCGTCTTTCATGGTGACCACGGGGAGTCAAGCTCAGTGTACATCTTATTTCATTGAACCTGTACAGTGGATGGAATCTACTTTGTTGGGAGTGATGGATGGACAGGTGAGAACATATTTTACTTTCGTCAGATTCATTGAATCATCTTTTTTCCTTGTACTTTTAAACTATGTTTTATTTATTTTTTGATAGTCTAGTATTCATGTTATGGCAGGTACACCTAGATTTCAAAATTTTAAAACATAAAAAGTGGTTAGGGACTAACGTTTGTATTAGCAGTTGATAAATGTTTAAGGTTTATCTAGCAGGATACAATGGTAGTGCTAATGCCAACAGGACACCATGGGAATTTGTCTAGAAATCATCATGAGGCTTTATACAAGCAACAACATGTGCTGCTGTTTTAGAATTTTAGAACATGATTGCTTTCAGTGCTAAGCAGTCTTTTAACATTTTTAATGTTCAACAGTGTAAAAGTATTTAGTTTGGCAAAATGTTTCAAAATAAAGTAGAAAAGTATTCATAGCATCCATTCATAGGCACATCCAATTTTGTTTTCAGTAAAAACCGTAGATACAGATCTGAACTCTTCCCTATATAAAATAATTTATATACAGATGGATACTATAATATCACTATCTAAAATAATTACTAAATTCTTTTTCTAAATTCTAAAATAATACAATTCTTTTTCAGAAATAAGATTTTTTAAATTATCAGATATCAGAAACACAGATAATGTTATATATTTCAAACAAATGGTACTCTAAAATCATAGAATTTCAGTGAATTCAGTGAATGTGCAAGCTAAATCAACCAAGCACACTGTGGTACAACCATATTAAGAGATCAATCATCAGAAAATAGAACCATATGAAAAAAACCCCTTATAATCCACAACTCTTCAGGCTTTAAAATAAACAAATAAAACCAAGGCAACAAAAATGCATGCTTACCTTGAATAAGTGGATATTTTATGCAGAAGATGTAACATTTTGTTTATAGACAGCATTGTATGCATTTCTCAGCAACACATAAAGAAAACAATGGGTCCTGACAATGGATCTTTCAGAATCTTGTTTTCTTCAAACCATATTTTAGAGCTGAGGATGTAGCTCAGTTGGTAGAGTGCTTGCCAGCATGCACGAAGCCCTGGGCACTATTCCCAGCATCACATAGGCAGGCATGGTGGTACATCTCTATAATCCCAGTACTCTGGAGGTTAAGACAGGGGTGTTAGGGGTTGGGGATCAGAAGTCAAAATCATCCTTAGGTACTTAGTGAGTTTGAGGTTAGCCTGTGATACATGAGACCCTGTCTAAAAGTTTACTTTAAAGATTTTTAAAATTTTTTATATTATTTTGTTTATATGTGTGGGCATACATGTCAGAGAGCATAACTTAAGAGAAGTTGGTTCTTTCTTTCCACCCTGTGGGTCCTGGATTGAATTTAGGTTATCAGATAAGTACCTTTACCTGCTGAGCTATCTCACGAGCCCCATTGAAAAAAAAGGAAAAGCCAGAAATAAAAAAACCAAAACAATGACAAACCCCTATCTGAATCATTGTTTCCTTTCTGAAGGTCATGTCTTTTTTAGTATATAGATAAGGCTATGAAAAATAATGCTTTTTTTTTCTTTCTTTTTTAATTAACTCAAGCTCTTACCCATCATGTAAGCATGCTCTACTATGAAGCTCTGCCCCCAGTACTCAAGTTAAATACATTTTTTTTTTCTTTTGGATAGAGTCTCCCTGTAGCCCCAGCTGACCTGGAACTCGCTATATAGATCAGGCTGGCCGCTGTCTCACAGAGGTAGAGTGCCTGCTTCTGCCTCCTGAGTGCTGGGATTAAAGGCATGCACTACCATGCCAACTAAATAAAATACTTTTTAAAAACTAGCTGATCCAGAATTTATTAACCATATTTGATTGGAACCCATTCATTTAAGTTAATAGATTTCTTTTATTTAAATTATTTTTGTGTGTTTGTGTGCATGTATGCATGCACATGTGATTACAGATTCCCATAAAAGCAGAGGCCAGAGGCATCAGATCCTCTGGAGGAGTTACAGATAGTTGTGAGCCATTCGTGGCTGCTTCGAACTGCACCTAGAGCAGCAGCAAGTACTCTTTTTGTTTGTTTGTTTGTTTTTGGTCTTTTTGAGGTAGCCCCCAGCCAGCCTGGAGCTCATTATGTCGACCAGGATGGCCTCCATCCCAGCAATCCATCTGCCTCTGTCTCCCAAGTGCTGGCCTTAAAGGCGTGCACCACCTGGCTCAGCTAACAGCTAGTACTCTTAATTGCTGAGCCATTTCTCTAGACCCCATGGACTGCAATCCCCCCTTCCCCATCTCAAACTTATGGTATATTTTGTCAAATTAAAGTTTAAGAAAGTAGTGAAATATGCTAGTGATTTATTTTCTTTCTTTTGGTATGACAGGGCCTTGCCAGAGGCAGACTTTGAATATGTTTCATAGCTGAGGTTATCTCAAACTCCTCATGATCCTCCTGTCTCCAACTTTCTAGAATTATAGGTGTATGCCATGCCTGGCTGTGGTAGTTTTTAAATTATGGTTTCTGAGTTTTATGTGCTGACCCCTTTTTAAAAAAATTTTGTGTATGTGTGCACACGTGCACGTGAACTAGTCAACCACTGTGCACCTGTGGAAGTCAGAGGACAACTTTGTGATGTTGGTCTCTCCTTCCATGTTTATGTGAGTTCTGGGAATTAAACCTAGGGTGGTCAGGATTGCTTGACAAGTGCCTCTACATGATGAGCCATATTGCCGGTCCTGTGTCCAGCCTTTTGTAGCTCAGTATTTCAAATAGAAACCCCTACTCATACCATATATGCTAAACTCATACGATAATGCTGTAGTTAGCATTAGAGAAAATGCACTTTACTTTTTAGGTATTTTTGGATTTGTCTCTTTTACTGAAACTTGCCTGACTTCTATGCTCTTCTTAGTAATAGGAGAAGAGAAACCCAGCACACATTTCCATCCTTTACCATGATGTTTTTATTTTAATCTTAAATTATAAATTGTTATAGCCATAAAAACTTTCTTAGTTGTCTTAAGCTTTAGCTTTCCCTCTTCAGCCTGGAATTCCTGTGTTCCTCTTCTTAGTACAAAGTGCCTCTTATGCAATAATTGTAGTTCATGGTCAAATAAGTAAATTTCTAAAGCGTTTTATCCCACTTGAAGATACAAGTCATGTGTTAGCTAGTTTTATATCCTGTATTGCCAAAAACAGGTGCTTGATTTGTATAAAAGTGGAGATAATAATACATTTGTTTTATTTCAGCTTCTTTGCCCAAAATGCAGTGCCAAGTTGGGTTCCTTCAATTGGTATGGTGAACAGTGCTCATGCGGTAGATGGATAACCCCTGCTTTTCAAATCCATAAGAATCGAGTGGATGAAATAAAAATGCTGCCAGTTTTGGGATCACAAAAGAAGAAATTATGAACTTGTGGCATTGGGTAGCTTGGAATAAGGCTTGTGATATCCCTCCTCTTGCTTATCATTCATTGTTTTTAGGTTAGCATTCCATTTGGAATGTCAGAAGATAATCACTTGATGTAATACAGATATATGGTTTGGGAGGCTTATTACATGATGCAAGTAAAGTGCTTGGCAATTCAAGCTATTTAATCATGTAAATTGGCTTGATTTGATACTAAAATCTTTCATAATCCAGATAATGTGTTACATAATTTTATGCTTTTAATTTTTTGTGATGTTGGGATCCAGCCCATAGCTTTAAGCATGTGAGGTAAGTGCTCTATCCCTGAGCTACAGCCGCAATCCCTCATATTTTTAAAAGCTCTGATTTGTGGTATGTTAATTATGTGATAACTGAAGTCTAAATGGATAAAATTGATTGTAAAAATGTGACACTGTCAGTATCTAGATATTCTTTGGTTTTCAGAAATACAAAGCAGATTTACTTGGTTTTATTTTGAAAATTATTTCTCTTTTGAAAACATATTAGTAAACATACACATGTGTTTTTGTGAATTTTCCTGGGGAGATATGAACAAATGTCTGTTCTCTCCAGATAGGCACTGACAGCAGGCCAAAAGAACGATTCCCCCCATGTCTAGCTTGGTGAATCAGTGAAATTTATTGGGGACAAAAAAGTGCATAAATCAGTTTAACTACAGGAACATGGGTGACTCAAAGCAATTGTACCAGAAAGCCTACCCCAGCATGGTTGACCACACACAAAACCTGCAATCCTGGTGCTCCCCTTCTCAATTTGTAGGCAGCTCAGCCTGAGGGAGATTCTCCTCTTCCCAACGATTGTCAGTGTTTATACAACATTTGGGAGGGACATTGTGAACCTTTTAACTCTTGAGCCTTGTAAGTTGCAAGAACCTCTTTCCCCTCCAGGAGGGAATATTTCAATTCAGAGGAAATGGCTGTACAACAGCTTGCACTTTTCTTGGAAACTTAAAGGAAAAGCTATTGGTAAAAACCTCATTAAGTGCTGGAGAGATGGCTCAGCGGTTAAGAGCACTGACTATTCTTGTAGAGGACCCAGGTTAGATTCCCAGCACCCACATGGTGGCTACGAACCGTCTTTAACTCCAGGCAATGCACTCATACACATAAGATAAAAATAATAAAATATTAAAAAAAAACTAATTAAAATGTGGTTTTCTAGTTACTCTTTAGAAATCACAGTTGTTACCATTGTTTTTATAAAAATATGTTTGAGCCAGGTGTGATGGCGCATGCCTTTAATTCCGGCACTTGGGAGGCAGAGTCAGGCGGATCTCTGAATTTGAGGCCAGCCTAGTCTACATAGTGACTTCCAGGCCAGCTGGGACTACAGGGAAACCCTGTCCCCAAAAGACCCCCCCCCAAAAAAAAAGTTTGTGATAGCTCTTAAAATAGTCTATATATATTTATAGAAATGTATTATCTATACATACATATTACATATACAGTCTATATATATAGAAATGTATTAATGGTATGTATGTTTATAATGATAAACAAATGTGGAGTTACCATATATAGTATACATGCACACGCATGCACACACACACACACACACACACATACACAAAATCAGTTACTTTTTTAGCACAGTATGCTTGAGTCTTGGAAAAGTTATGTACAGATTGGCTTCTTTAAAAAAATTATGTATTATTTTTATTTTATGTGTATGAATGTATTGCCTGCTTGTGTGTAAGTGTACCTGTGTCATGCAGTGCCCATGGAGGTCAGAAGAGGGCGTTGGATTTCCCTGGAACTGGAGTCATAGACAGTTGTTAGCAGCCATGTAGGTGCTGAGAATTGAATCTGAGTCCTCTGCAAGAGCAGCCAGTGCTCTAGCCACTGAGCTATCTCTCCAGCCCCCAGATTAGCTTTTAAAAGTGCATTATTTATGTGTGTTTGTGTGCATATATGGTGTCTGTGTGCATATATGTTGCTAGTGTGCAGGTAGGTGCCCATGGAGGCCAGAAGAGGAGGGTATTGAATACCTTAGAACTGGAGTCACAGGTGGTTGTAGCTGCCCTGCATGGGTCCTGAACTTGGGTCCTCTGGAAGAGTAGCAAGAGCTCTTAACTGCTGAGCTGTCTCCAGCCCCTAACTTTTTAACCTTATCTGCAGTAATTAGAATTTATTTTTACTTGTTTACTGTTAGAATGGGTGATTGTGAGCTGCCTGATATGGGTGAGGGAACCAAACTACTCTGATCCTCTAGAAGAGCAGCAAATGCTCTTAACTACTGAGCCATCTTTTCAGTCCCTTGTTCCCAGCTTCAATATGAACATTTAAAAAGTTTTATTACAATTTTTCTGTAAATTTTTATATACATTCTACTGGATTCAGGAATGTTCTTTTCATTTTAGTTACCAGTCTCTTGTTTTTGAGACAGGGTCTCCCTATGTTACCCTGGCTGGCCTGGAACTCGCTATGTAGACCAGGGTGAACTACATAGAAATCAGAGATTCATCTGCTTCTGCCTTGAGTGCTAAGAGTAAAGGCTTTTTTTTTTTTTTATTTATTTATTTATTTTTTTTTTTAACACGTGTTGAATACTATTGAATCTTTTTTCTTGGGTCTATTCCTCATTTGATTTTAACTTAAGCACTGGGAATAGAAATGAAATACAAAAGAGAACTATGTCTCTGTACTATATGCTACTGTGTGGGATGGCTAGATACTGAGTCATCTGAAACTGTAGTTCTTCAGCCCAAGAGGCACAGGCATCAACTTGTTTTATGAAAGCTTTGAGATGATAACCAAGTGAAGGAAAGATGGTGAACAGACTTTATGAAAGACAGAAATGAAGGAACTTCTCATTTAATATATATATATATATATATGCTTCCAAAGTCAGGTCATTTATTGTGATTTCTTTTTTCAAGAATCATCAGTAACACCCCCCCCAAATCAACTAAGCATGTTTAAAGAGGATCATTGTTCATATTTTTTAAAAAAGATTCCCATGTTAGTATATATCTTATGCACAGACACAAGTAAAATATTTTAAGGTCATAGACTACCCCTTTTTAAGCTAACTTTGATTTCATGTAAATGTTCAAATATCTAATTAGGTCCAACAAGTAAACAAGCAAATTTAGTGGCATGTATACAAAATTCTGAATCCAGTAGAATATATAAAATTTACAGAAAAATTTTTAATAAAACTTTTTAAATGTTCATAATGAATCTGGGAACAAGGGACTGGAAAGATGGCTCAGTAGTTAAAAGCATTTGCTGCTCTTCTAGAGGATCAGCGTAGTTCGGTTCCCTCACCCATATCAGGCAGCTCACAATCACCTACAACTTCAACTCCAGAGGATCTGACACCCTAGTCTCTATGGGCACCACACCACATGTTGCATACTCAAGCGCGTGGGCTATGGAGACCACGCTGGCCTCCATCTCACTGGCTTCTGCAGCACTTCTCACCTTTGCTTCTCAGGTGTGCGCCATCACGCCTGGCTTTAACCATTTTCTTAAAGGCTAAGGTGTTCGGTAGAGAAAACTCAATTATTTTGTTTTTATGCCAACTTTTGAATTTACAGCTTGGCCGGAATGAAAACGTTAAGTTTCACCTTAAATAAAAAACAGGATTCCAGTGACTGAAGGAACGGTATTTTAAGGTGTGTGTGTGTGTGTGTGTGTGGTATTTTAAGATTTTGTGTGTGTGTGTGTGTGTGTGTGTGTGTGTGTGTGTGTGTGTGTGTGTGAGTGCGGGTAAAGCACTTTGCC